AGGCAGGGAGGTGTTCCTTTGGAGGCCCCGGGAGCCCACGTCTCTTCCATTTTCCTGGTTTCTAGAGGCAGCCATGTCCCTTGTCCTGTGGTCAAGCTGGCACGGGCCAGTGGATTCTCCCTTGGTCACTCCTCTGGCTCTCTTTCCCCTCCCCTTCCATTTTTGATGCTTTTTGGCCTCCTGGGTAGTCTAGGGGAATTGCACTATGTCAACTATGTTAGCATTGCCTCCACCTCAGGCCCTTAGCCCCTCCAACTTCACTTCCCGGAGCAGCTTGTATCTGTACAGCTGCATCTGCAGAACACTCTCCACCCAGATCTGAACTCCAGAGAATCCTCCCCGGCTCCCACCAGTTTCTCTGGGATAGGAAGGCAGCCCACTCTCTGCCCAGGTCTAGCTGTGCACGCAGAGTTCCTCCTAGCTCTAGTCTCCGGTTATGAGGATGCCCCTGGATGGGGACTAGCGCCATTTTGCTCCCCCTCTGGTGGAAGAGAGGGCCATGTCAGCCCCCCGACAAACCTTATAAACCTCCTTCTCCTGTAGGTGTCCGTGTGGTCTTCTGGGATGGCTGCCTACAAACTGCAATTGCTCACCAGCTTCGTATCTTCTGTAAGCACTGTGCCTTTTGTGAGGCGAGTGACATGTGCACGGGTCCTAGGGTAGGATGTGGACATCTTTTGTGGGAACATCTTTCTGAGACCACAATTAGTTCTGCCTGAGGGTGGAGAGAGGAAGAAGAGGGACTCTGGGTCTTGAATGAAAGAAAGTATCAGTTCATTGGAAAGACGATAGAGAGTTACAGTGTACTGGAACTGGACCGAGAGCTCTAAGTTTATACTGCCCTGTCGGGATTCCTAGTTTATCAGAAGTGTGGAGCAGAGAGTCAGGGTAACGGGGCCCTGAGCGGACCTTGGATGCGGATGAAGGAACAGGGAAGATGCCACTGGGAGGCACTGGCAGCCCTAGAAGAGAGATTTTGTTTGTTTTGTGTTGTGAGCAGGGCGATGCTCTAATTTGGTTTTTGAGACAATATAAAGTCAGCTGAGGAAGATGACAAAGTAACAGCCTTCTCCTGAAATGATGAAATGTGTGTTGTAAAATTGGAGCCACTAATAAAAGAGAGCCCAGCTTCAGGCAGAGCAGCCTCAGAGACACATGACAGCTGGGCCGGAGGGGGGGCGGAGGGGGGGCGGAGGGGGGGTGGAGGGGAGGGCGGAGGGGGGGTGGTGGGGAGGGCTGAGGGGGGACGGTGGGGGGGCAGAAGGGGTGTCGGGGGGGTGACAGGGGGACGGCGGGGGGCAGAGGGGGGTGGAGGGGGGCGGAGGGGAGGGTGGAGGGGGGGTGGGGAGGGCGGAGGGGGGTCAGAGGGGAGGGCGGAAGGGAGGGAGGATGGGGGCCGGAGGGGGGTGGCGGGGGGCGGCGGCAGCCACGTCAGCCTGCGCGCGGTCAGCACACAGCTTCCCCCAGATTTATCTGCGTGTTTTCATCTATTTATTTATTCTTACCGTCCTCACTGGGTGATCTCCGAGATGAAGTGATAACTCTCCTCAGATGAAGAGGCAGGCCCGGGGGCTGAGGAACGGCCACTCCCCCTCAGCCAGCGTGCTTTCAAGGACAAAGGGTCAGAAAGAAATGCTTCCTGAGTGGGAGCCACGCTGAGCCTTCGGGGTGGGCGGGCAGGAGGAAGGCTGGTGTCCAGGGACCTCCCGGCTCTGTTTTTTCTGTGATTAACAGGCGGATGGGGTTGTGGTTCAGTGGCTGTCAGGAGGCTTCTGGAACATTCTTCCTCCCTGCTGTTGTCACCGTCTAGGCTCAGGCCCCTTCTTGCCGCTCCAGCCCTGGGTCTGTGGTCTGCGTGCTCCTTCCCACGCTCCCGCTCCTGCCTTCTTTCTCATCCTCAGGACCTTTAGACTTGTGCTGGGATCCCCGCGTGACCCCGGGAGATGCCCTGCCTCACGAGTCGAAGCACGTGCCGTCTGAGGAACTACATCTGTCGACTCTGGGGACCAGGGTGTGGACATCCTTGGGGGGTATTGCTCCATCTACTGGAGATATTTTTCAACTACGTAAGGGTTTTGCGGGCAGCTTGGTTGTTGATTTTTTTTTTTTTATTGTAAAGCTACTATACAGAGGGTTACAGTTACATGAGTGAGGTTATGAGTACACTTCCTCTTGAACATTGTTACCCCCTCCATTGTTTTCCCCCTACCATCCCCTCCCTCCCTCCCTTCCCCGAGGTTCTTTTTTTTTTCTTTTTGATTGTGATTAATTGATTACATAATTTCAAAGTCACAAGTTCATTCTAACTTTCCTGGAGCAAATTGTCTATCACACTCTGTAATATATAACAGTGTTCACACGTTAGATACCATATTTGTGATCAGCAGCATGGGGATATTTAGTAGTGGTTCAACCAGATGAGCGGGCGTTCTTTGTTTCTTAAGTCCTGTTAGTTTTGTCGTGTCACCTAACCTTTTGGATTTAGCATCCACTTATCAGGGAGACCATGTACCGTTTGTCTCTTCGTTCTTGGCTTACCTCGCTCAACATGATTCCTTCTAGCTCCATCCATTTCCCTGCAAATGCCATTATTTTGTCATTTCTAATGGCTGCATAATATTCCATTGTGTATAGATAACACAATTTTTGGATCCATTCATCTGTGGTGGGGCATCTGGGTTGCTTCCATATCCTAGCTATTGTGAACAGTGCTGCAATAAACATGGAGGTGCACCTGTCCTTGTATATTGGTTCCTGTTGTTCAGGGTAGATGCCTAGAAGTGGTATGACTGGGTCATAAGGGAGGTCAATCTTTAGCTTTCTAAGGCCCCTCCAGACTGCTTTCCAAAGTGGTTGTATAAGTGTACATTCCCACCAGCAGTGTAATAGGGTTCCTCTTTCTCCACATCCCCTCCAGCATTTGTCGTTGGCTGATTTGTGGATGTGGGACATTCTGACTGGGGTAAGGTGGTATCTCAGGGTTCTGTGCTAGCCAGGGACTGGAGCTGGTGTGTGGGTGAATTATGTTTTGTTTCTGGAGACCTGTTTCAGGCCTCAGGTGTAATGGGTCTTAACTATAAACATTTCCTGTACACCAGAAAAACGAGCAGCTCTTGCTGGCCGAGTGGCATTCCCGCGTGAATCGGGCCGGTTTGCGGCGACGTGGCCTCATCTCAACCTTCCGCATCTTTGCTGCTCTCACGTTGCATCCGTCTTGAGGCAGCAGTGCTACAATTTCTGATGTAATCATGGACTTTTGCTTCTGCTTGGATATCTGTTGATCCTTGCTTCATGGATGGAGGGCTCTCTTGTTAGGTTTGCAAACATTTAAGGTGGTCTTATCTTCTTCATGAACTGACCACTTCATCATTGTAAAGAAGCCTCTTAACCCTTGCAATTTGTTTTGTTTTTGCTTTCAAACCGGCTTGATCTGACATTAATGAACCCACTTGTCTTTTGCTTCTGTATAGAATGACCTCTTTCTCTATCATTTTCGTTAAACTGTCTATATTTCTAGCCAGCATGTAATTGAGCCTTGGCTTTAGACATCCCTGATGATCTCTGCTTTTCAGTTGCGTTGTTTTGCCCATTTATATTTAATGAGATTATCGACAGGTTTGGTTTAGAATCTACTCTTCTTGGTGTTTGTCTTGTAATTATTCCATTTGCGTTTTCTTTTGTTCCTACTGCTTGTTTCTCTGCCTTCTTTGAGTTCATTGTGTAATTTTATGATTCTATTTTCTCTCTTATTATCTTATTATTGATATCTTTTTATTTTGTTGTTTTAGTGGCTGCTCTAGAGTATGTTGTACACATCTTTAATTTTCACAGTCAATTTCCAAGTGATATTATCTGACTACAAGTATAATGTAGAAATTTCATATTACTGGCTTTATGTTTCACTGTGAGCCTTTGGCCTATCCTTCCAAACACTCCTTTCTTCTATATATATTAGAACCCAAACTGTGCATTGTCACTATTTTTGTTTGGAGCATGGAAAGCTCTTCTGAGTAAAGAAAAAATTAATATTTGTTTACAAATAAGTTGTTCGAAAACATGTACCAAAACCTCGCTAAAGTAAATACATACCAAAAAGTAAAAAAGTAGAATCTATGTAAGAAATGTCACTTGTTTTAGAAAAAAGAATACAAGAATATACAAATAAATGTGAAGAAACTGCAATATGAATGAAGCCAAAGAAAAATGCCCCCTAAATGACCAAAAGTTTATTTTTTTTGTATTCCCTGTTTTTTTTTTTTTTTATGTGAAAGTACTGTACAGCGGGGTTACAATTACATGGGCAAGATAATGAGTACATTTCTTATCAAGCATTGTAGCCTCCTCCTCTGTTTCTCCTTCCCATCCCTTCCCATCCTCCCCCCACCCCCCACCCAATCCAAAAGTTTATTTTTGATGGCATCAGCCACAATTATTTAAAAGTTGCATAAAAGTTAAGCCAAATAGAATATTACAAACATATTTCATTTCATCCACAAATCTAAACAAAAGTAGGAACAACTCATTAGCAGGGTTAATTTTTCGTATGTGCCAGTTCTGGGGCTTGAACTCAGGGCCTGGGTGATGTCTTTGAGCTTCTTTTGCTCAAGGTAAATACCACTTGAGCCATCGTGCCATTTCCAGCTTTTGAGTAGTTTATTGGAGTTGAGAGTTTCCATCCCAGGCTGGCTTTGAACCGCAATTCTCAGATCTCAGCCTCCTGAGTAGCTAGGATCACAGGCATGAACTCCTGGCACCTGGTATAGCTGGGTTACCCATTAAATGAAAACACGATTGCTTTAACAAAATGTACAGGACTGTGCCACCTAAATCAACTGGGTTTCTTTTTATGAGATTGTTCAGGAGACAGGGTCTTCCTGCTCTCCAACTTACCACTCAAGCAGTCTTCCTCTTCCCTCAGCTTCTGGGACTACAGGCACACATGACCGTGCTAACCTTAAAGATGCTTTTCCAGAGTGAAAATTTGAAAAACCTATTCCAGTGAAGATAATGAACACTTCACGAATTTGTGTCATCCCTGTGCAGGGCCCATGCCAACCTTTCTCTGTATTGTTCCAATTTTAGTATGTGTGCTGCCCAAGCACGCACCAGTCACCTCTGTGTTTAGGGGATCTAAATAGTAACAATTCTCTCTCCATTTCCCCTTGTGGTTAGCCTTTCCTGTGTGGATCTGCCTTTCCATCTGCTCTTATTTCCTTTTGCTTCAAGGGCTTCCTTTAACATTTCTTACACTGCAGTTTTACTGGTTGATAATAGTCTTCACTTTTGCATGCCTCAAGAATTATGTTGCTTTCGTATTCTGACACTCTTTGTGCTGAGTAAGAGGTTTTACATTGACAGTGATTTTTCCCCCCCAGTAGTCTGGAGACTCAACCTTGTCTTTCAACTTGCATGGCATCTAATGAGATATCTACTTTATCTTCACAGTTTTTCTTCTAGAAGTAATTTGACCCTTTTTCCTCTGGCTGCTTTTACAATTTTCTTTATCACTGACTTTGATTATAATATGCTTTTGTGTAGTTTTCTTCATGTTTGTTGTGCTGGAGATTTGTTGAACTTTTTGTTTTGTTTGTTTTGTTTTTTTTAAAATCTGAGACCAGGACTTGAACTTGGTATCTGGCACTTTCACTCATAGACTGGGGTTTTTATCACTTGAGTCATAGGGCTCAAGGGCTGGTTATTTCATTTTTCTTTTCTTTGCTTTCTTTCTTTCTTTCTTTCTTTTTTTTGGTCGGTCGTGGGGCTTGAACTCTGGGCCTGGGCGCTGTCCCTGCGCTCTTCAGCTCACGGTGAACACTCTACCACTTGAACTACAATGCCACTTCCAGTTTTTTTGGTGGTTTATTGGAGATAGGGGTCTCATGGTCTTTCCTGCCCAGGCTGGCTTTGAACTGCGATCCTCAGATCTCAGCCTCCTCAGTAGCTAGAATTATAGGCGTGAGCCACTGGCACCGTTTTGGTTTATGTGCAGTTTAGGTTTGTATTACATTTAGAGAAGGCTGGTCATGCTAGCCCCTCCCTCTTCTCAGTCTCAGGAATTCTGTTGCCTGTGTATCTGGCCGCATGGACCTGTCCATCACACATGAATGCTGTGTTCCCTCTCTCAGTGTGCTTATTGTTACGGAATACTTATTGCTAAAACTTTTAGTTCGTTAATTTTTTTCCTGTAATATTTCATTTGCCCTTAGTTCCACCCATTCTTTGTGTTTTAATCCCAGATCATATAGTTTCCATGTTCAGAAGTTCACTTTGGGTCTTTTTAAAAGAAATACGTCCAGGCTCGCCCTCACATGCATGATAATCTGCCCTCTAGATCACAGGGCGGGTCAGCGAAGGCGGCTTGGCTTTCCTGCTGACTCGAGTGTGTTGGCAGTGGACAGTGCTGACTCCTCTCCTTTGCTCCTCGTTATGGGGTTTGTCTTTACTATGTGCTGTGCTGCCATGCCTCAGTCCCGCTTGCTCCTGTAGAGATCCTCCAGCTTTGCTCTTTGCCATGGTCGTGTTTCTTGGGCAGTTTCATCTTTTCAGGTTTTCCTTTCATGCATGAGAACAATTTTAAATCAAGGGTAAATTTGCCCCACGTGTCGACACAAAGCTTTGTTCTCTGTGGGGCAGTTCCCCGCTCTGGCTGGTGGAATGGGCTTCCCGTGCTTCCCAGCCCTGTGGGAGCGTCAGGTTTGGTAGAGGAAGGCAGCTCTCTTCCGGGTCTTCGCGGCATCTCAGCGTCTCACAGGCTGCACAGCCTCTGCGGGCCGTGGATTTCTCACTGAGCCCGGTTTCCTCCTCTCTGGGACTCTGACCTGTGAACTCTAAGCTTTTTGGTTTTGGGGGACTCTCAACTCTATGTCCTTCATTCTGAGGACTGGTGGTTTCCACCTTTAGGGTATTTCAGTGAAACACTTACTTTTAAAGCCACTTGTGAGGCCTTTTTTGCGCAGTTTTCCGTCGGTGAGCACAGTGACTGGCCCTCCTCCGGTGTCTTGCTCCATGTCTGGCCAGCAGCGTGAGCCGCTCCTCCTCCCTGGGCCACTGGGAGACTTCCGCCCACTGTGACAGACAGGACCCGTGCCCAGCCCGGCGCCGCCCCTCCGAGGCTCCGCTCAGCTCCTCCGACACTGACAGTGCTCTCCTCTGACACACATCTATGGCGTCTTCCATATGAGTAAGGTGCTTGCATCTACAGTGACGGTTGGGCCAGCTCCAACGACGGGAGCGGCCATCGCTCCTTCCACCAGGCTGTTTTCACCAGGGCAGCCTCGGTGGCCACTTCGGTGGCCGGTGCTATTCCTTCATCAGACACTGAGCTGACCAATCTTATTTACATATCTGATTATAGAATGATAGTAAACATGACACTGCTTTGCTTTGATATTGGCTTTTGGAAGACAAATGTGGGCAAAGGTATGTTAATGTTTTATAAGAGAAAAAGTCTAAACTCGGGAATGAGGTTTCCAGTGTTTGTGGACATTTGCTTCCTATGTTATATCTTAAATGAGACCTCAGCATGCGAGACTCGGAGGGACCCAGTGTACATTTGAAATCCAGGTGAGTTTGATTACCTGGAGATTTTAATATCATTGAGAAGACCCAGATTTGGCAGATTTCAGGCCAAACTATCGTCTAAATTGATTCTGATTCATTAAATCACACTTTAGAGAACATTTATTTTAACCAATAACACTTATGGTGCTGAGGTTTATGAAGTAACAAATGGCATGAGCTATTGACTTAGTTCTGACATAAAGATGAGCTATTGATATTTGATTAAGCTAACAGCTGTTGTGTAAGTGCATTGCCTTAATGCAAAGAACACTGTTATTATACAGTAGGACAAAACCGTCACTGAAAAACACCACAATTTAGAAAATAAAGGTTACTTGAGAGCATGAAATTATTTCAAGTTAATTTTGCACTCTGCTCTTGAAGCTGATTAGTATAAAATGTAATTTTTCCTAAACAGCTTAAACCAGGAATGTACCACAGCAACCTGTAATTAGCACTGATTGATGCTGAGCCTTCTCTGTCAAAGAAAATCTTAGCATGCCACGATAGCTACCAAGGTGACCCCTAGCAGGGCCTGGGACCTGGGAGGTGCTGTTCTCCTTCTGAGGTTGACTTGGGCCGTAGGGACATTGACAGCCATGGGCACTCTTCCCAGGCAGAGTGTGTGTGTGTGTGTGTGTGTGTGTGTGTGTGTGTGTGTGTGTGTGCGCGCGCGCATGTGTGTGAGTGTGCGTTGAAGGGGGGGCTCTCTGCTCTCCTGGAAGGGGCCAGGCTTCTGTCACATGGATGAGGAACCTCCTGACTCTGTGGGTGGTGTCCACCAGAAGGTGGTGTCCATCCTTTAGAACGCAGGCTAGGTGCACAGTGCAGATGTCTAGATACAGCGTGTGGCTAGGGAGTGCACTTGTGACCCAGTCACTTAGCACACTGTGGGTCAACTGGAGAAAGCAAGAGGGGGAGGGAGGGAGAGAGGAAAAGGGAGGGAGAGAGACAGTGGATTGAGAATGATCTCGTGTCACGTGATGGTGGAAGTGGCGAGGTGGGGGCTCAGGAGAGGGAATGGGGCGCGTTGTGGTGGAAGTGCCCGGGCAGGCGGGCAGCAGAACTTCCTGTTCCTCCGTCTTTTTATTCTGTCAGATCTTCAGCTAATTGGATGAGGCTTGTCTGTTTAACCCTGCAGACCGACTGAAGTATCAATCATCCAGAAAGACCCCACAGGCACTGCCCAGACTCCGGGTGCCTGTGGGATGGTCACGTTGACGGCGGGCGTAGTGCTTTCTGTGAGCTGGTTGACCTTCTCTTTGCCTTCCAAGACACGTTCTTTTATTGGGGAATAGTATAGCTTGAGGAGACCTCTGTGATTTCATCTAATCAATGCCAAGAGTGGAAACATTTGGGGTAAGATGTCATAGTGTACTGTGGGGTGTGACTCCGAGTTTTAAGGTTCACGAGGTATAAATATGTTAAGTGTAATATACTTTGCCAGAAAACCACGCAGACATCCAGGTACAAAGAACAAAGACAAGACCCCTTCCCACAAGGGGGAAGTGAGAAGATGTGCTGGCTATTGTCTGAGGTGACCTATATAACCCAGGAGGTTTAGGAGGCGCTACCTGGTGTGAAGGGTTGATGGCTGCTGCCCAAGAGTAGATAAGGGGTCTTGCAGCTCCCTGGTCTGACGGTCACTCTAAGGGGCTCTTGCAGCCTTCTATGGTGGTAGCTGCCCCAGAGCAGTGCCATCCCAAGGAAAAGGGGTTGGAGGCTGATTATTTACTGCTGTTACTTCATGGGCCTCGTATTGTGTAGGAAGGGAGCGTGCCAATCTGTGGAGGGGGGAACAGCGTGCTAAGCCATGGGAAGGGAAATCATTGGGCCAACAGAATATCTCCTCTCTCCTCAGAGATATCACGTACGGGTGTGTTTCTCCCCAGTGCCCACGTTAATTGTATTTTTAATGTTGCATTCTGTACCTGCCAAGAGTTAAATAAAGCCAGTAAATGCAGGTTAGTTTCTCACAACATTCATGCCATTTCTAAAGATGAAAATGGTTTGTTAGCAGTGCCTTTTTAAAACAGAGACAGAGGTCTGACCTGCAGGCTTGCACACCCAGCAGAGCCCGAGCCTGATCCCACAGGGCGAGAGCTCGTCTGACAAGCCTGTGCTCGGGCCTTTCCACGTCAGCTCTGGTGGCAGTGGAGCAAGGCTCTGCTGTGCTTCCTGTCTCCTGCTGCCTGATCTGGCAGTCTCCAACGCCGCAGGTGAAGGGCCATGGCTGCCCAGGGCCAGACCCTGTTGTGTGCACCTGAGCCTCCTGGTGACAGCAAGCTTCTGGGCAGGGCGAAGTCTCCGCAGTTGGGCAGGGGGCAGTGGTAGCCGAGTGGCTGTTCTGGGGCAAGGGTTTGCAGAGCTGCTGAAAACAGCATTCCAAAGCATATCTGAAATCGGGGCCTCACGGAGCCCCAGCCTCTGCCACAGAACCAAAGAGGCCCGTGTGGCTGGCTCCCTTGTCTTCCCACGCTCCCTGTGAGGCGGGTGGCCCCAGGGAAGCCGTCTTGCTAAAGCTGCTGCGTGCAGGTCTTTG